CAAGTTCAAAGAAGAATGGGCTGTGAAGAATCCTAAAATCTTACCTTACGTACAATTGGTACGGAGGTTATGCAAAAGATTTAGGAAGACCGAGTTCAGACACACCTAGAGAATACAGAACGACCTTGCCGATGCTCTCGTAACCATATCGTCCATGATACAACACCTAGAAAAGAGTTATATCGATCCACTTGAGATAGGTTTAAAAGAACAACCAACACATTGTTCACATGTGGAAGCGGAATGGGATGAGAATCCACGGTATATCAATGAAAAAGTACTTAGAAGCTGGCGAATATCTGGAAAAAGCAACAAGTATTCAGATAAAATAATCCGAAGAATGGCAAATAACTTCTTTTTAAATGGAGAGGTTCTTTATAAGAGGACTCCCGATCTAGGATTACTAAGATGTGTGGATGTTGCAGAAGCCACAAGATTGCTTGAAAAAGTGCACGCTGGAGTGTGTGGGACGCACATGAAAACCTTTACATTAGCAAAGAAAATCCTAAGGGCGGGATACTTTTGGATGACTATGGAAAGTGATAGTGGCCGATTTGTCCAAAAATGTCATAAATGTCAGGTACATGGAGATCTGATCAAGTACCTCCCCATGAGCTCAATGTGATAAGTTCCCCTTAGCCATTTGCAGTTTGGGGCATGGATGCTCTCGGACCAATTGAGCCTGCTACCTCAAATAGTCATAGGTTCATTTTGGTCGCCATTGATTATTTCACAAAGTGGGTGGAAGCTGCTTCCTACAAAGTTGTGACGAAGAAATTTGTGGTCAATTTTGTTCGCAACAATTTGATATGTCGTTTTGGAGTTCTAGAGTCTATCATCACAGACAATGGAGATAATCTGAATAGTTATTTGATGAAAGAGATATGTGAAAAATTCAAAATTATCCACCGTAATTCAATTGCATATTGTCCTCAAATGAATAAAGTTATGGAAGCTGCTAATAAGAATATCAAGAGGATATTGAGAAAGATGATTGACAACTACAAATGTTGGCATGAAAATTTGCCTTATGCTTTGCTAGGTTGTCGCACCACAATTTGAACCTCAACTGAAGCAACTCCTTATCTATTGGTATACGGAACAAAAGCAGTGATACCAACTGAAGTTGAGATACCATATTTAAGGATTATTTAGGAAGATGGATTGAGCGATGCCGAATGGGTTCGTGATCGATATGAGCAATTAGCATTGATTGATAAGAAAAGAATGAGTCTCGTTTGTCATGGCCAGTTGTATCAACAGAGAATGACTAACACTTCAACAAGAAGGTAAGAGTTGCCTCTTGCTTATTCATGCTATCTGAAATATCATGTTTGATTTCAGATTGTTTCTTCATTATCTTTTAAAATATTAGTTTTTAGTTGAGAGAGTTTTTTGAAAGGAGAGTTTTATATATTAGGCATTGCCTGCCCTTTATGTTACATATGCTTTCCTTTATATAAAAAGGAAAATCTGCACAATACCACACGTACTCTTCCTAATACATCACACATCATATGACTTTTTACACCTACTTTATGACGCATATGACTTTTTACACCTACTTTATGACACACCATACTATACACTTTATGACACACCATAACACTCCACACCTACTTGTGGTTTCTATAGTTAATGTGTTTTTTGGTGTTAGCCTCGGGGTAAATGGTTTTTCGAATAACTAGTTTAAGTTTGAATTCTTATGTTTTTCACTACTCGTTGGCTTGTACCTGCAGCTGTATTTAAACAAATGTTATGGGTTTTTTAGGTGTTTCCCAACGTCACCTTTTAGCTCTAGATTTTTTCTGTCTTCCGATCGACATAGCTCCGCATTTTTTACAGTCATGCTGCTAACTTATACTAGCTTTAGACTTCAAATTATCTTCATTAGTCTTTAGCTTTTTGTATCTCATTGTCCATACTATCCCTTTTGTACAAAGTGTAGTAATGACTTTGAGTATCTTTTCAATTGTAATTTTCGGTGCGGAATTGGTAGTTAAGGAATTCATGGAAGTGGTAGTGTGATAGGTGGTAGAGTGGTAGGTGAGTAATTTATTTTAAAAATTTTATTATAATATTCTTTTGCTAAGTGTCTTAATCTTGATATTTCTTTAATATTAGGTGTGAAATTCATGGTAAGATATAATAATATTTTATTGTAATATTCTTCCGATAGTTGTTTTAATCTGAATATTTCATTAATATTATTTATGATATATTCTAGATATAACATATCTTGGGTTCTTTGGTACATATATAAATTTTCCTCGATTAATTGTTCTAATAGTTTTATATCTTCCATAAATTCTATCCAATATTGTAAATATTCGTAGTTCATTTTAATCTGAATTTATTTCTAAATCATACCATTCTATTCTTTCGAGGTCTAAATCATGTAGGTCTATTTCATACCATTCTTGGTTCAATATATCTTCTGATTCGTTATCTTCAAATATTTTTTCCCATATTATTCTTCTTAATTCAATTACTTCTATATTTTTAAGTATATATAGGATTAAAGTTTCGTAGTTTTTTATCATTTCATCATGCATGTATGTGGTCATGTTCGTTGTTATGCAGATTTTTTATTTTCAATTATTCCTTCCTTTCATATCCATAATTGATTAAATTCTTATTAGAAAATTATGAACTAGATTATCTGTTTATCATGTTCTCCTGTCACTACTTGCATCGTACTTTAGCGGATACTTCCTTCTTATCAGTGCCTTAACTTTGTTTACTCCCCTAAACGGCTTCCTCGCCTACCGGTTTCAACATTAGGATGTCATAGTATAGAAGTTTTCTCTCTGTTTCCAGTGTGCTAATAAACTAGAAATCATGATTCAAATAATTCTAATACATAATAACTAACATAAATTTATTCAATCATATATATGATATTCAGGAATATATGAAATTAGTTCTGCATATTTTTTGAACAATATACCTTTGCCTCTTGCTTATTCATGCTATTTGAAATATCTGGTTTGATTTCATATTGTTGCTCCATTATCTTTTAAAATATTAGTTTTTTAGTTGAGAGAGTTTTTGAAAGGAGAGTTTTATATATTAGGCATTGCCTGCCCTTTATGTTACATATGCTTTCCTTTATATAGAAAGGAAAATCTGCACAATACCACACGTACTCTTCCTAATACATCACACATCATATGACTTTTTACACCTACTTTATGACACATATGACTTTTTACACTTACTTTATGACACACCATACTATACACTTTATGACAGACCATAACACTCCACACCTACTTTACACTTGTCCTACTATTTTACCTTATCCTTACACACCTATACACCTATTATTTTACATTGTCACGTTACTCTAGACAATTAGTCAAAAAATTTATCTTACCTTTTTTATCTTGTCCATATCTTATCTTGTCTTGTCTGCATCTTTATCTTCTCATCATTTTCTTATCTTATCTTTTAGGCTTCCGTCTTTATCTCTTATTCCAGCTGGACGTCTGGAATTATATTATCTTCTCTATTGCGTTTTGAACATATATGGTCAGGGTATTTGTGACCAATTAGCTTGCAATATCTGGTTAATAACTCTGCCGAAATAAATCCTACTTTTAGTGCTCGTGTTGTAGGTCGTTCTTCTGGCTTAAGTAATGATAAAATCCATCTCTGGACTTCATCCATAGTTGCTTTCCTTAGCTCCCTTGAATTGGAATAAATCATTAATTGATCTCTTGCATAGTAGCTCCATATAGCGTTTCCGTTTAAATAATTATTTGCTAGCTCTTGTATAATGGTTGATATACCAATTATTCTCTTATTGGCATAAAAATTGGGTATCTCACTTTTTTGTATCTCTGGTTGCTGTTCGATATCTTTCGGTATTATCATATCTTTTGTTAGTCCTATCTTTACCACTTGTATCAGAGGTTTTATTTCCTCGTATAATATCTCTGTTGTTGCCGTATAAAATTTTACACAGAATAAATTTCCCTTAGTTACTCTCTTATATGTAATAAATGCTTTATTTAGTTCCGGTATTCCACTTAGTTCCTCTCCGTCATATGTATATACTGTATTTAATAGTCCATAGTTGTAGCATGTCCTTACTAAGTTGGCGTTAGTTTTCGGTTGTGCAATCAGTTTATTATAACCTTGTAATTTTTGGGTTAAATAATCCTGGTTGGGTTCTTGGGTTGTAGTAGATTTGGGTTTAAGGTTTAAAAATGTTTGGATTTTGTATATATTTTCTATATAGGTTCGCGTAATATGGTTATTTGTTCTTTTGTCATGGTGTAGGCTATCCTCATATGTAGAAGTTTGTGGTTCTATAGTTAATGTGTTTTTTGGTGTTAGCCTCGGGGTAAATGGTTTTTCGAATAACTGGTTTAAGTTTGAATTCTTATGTTTTTCACTTAACTCGTTGGCTTGTACCTGCAGCTGTATGTAAACAAATGTTATGGGTTTTTAGGTGTTTCCCAACGTCACCTTTTAGCTTTGGATTTTTTCTGTCTTCCGATCGACATAGCTCCACATTTTTATAGTCATGCTGCTGACTTATACTAGCTTTAGACTTCAGATTATTTTCATTAGTCTTTAGCTTTTGTATCTCGTTGTCCATACTATCCACTTTTGTACAAAGTGTAGTAATGGCTTTGAGTATCTTTTCAATTGTATCTTCTTCCTCAGTCTCAGTCTGAGTAGCTTTGTCGTGATAAGTAATCTGCAATAACATTCTTATTAGTTTTTATTACTTCAATTGTAAATGTAAAATTTAATATATTTAATACCAATCTCCTTATTTCTTTTGTTGTTATCGAATCTTGTATTTTCTTGTTAGCCACCATTTTACTTGTGTATTATCTATTCTTATAATAAATTCGTTATATACAATATATGGTTCAAATGATAATAAATATTTATATACCGAATATAATTCTTTCCTATTTATTTTCCATCTTATTTCTGCATTAGTAAATGTTCCTGAATAATATCTACAATGATGTTCTTTTTTTCTTCTCCATACCTGTATTTTAATACTCCTCCATAACTTTTTTCACTGGTGTCTGATTCTATTATATAAGTAAATTTTTTATTTTCATCCGAAAAATATAGTTTAGGTAGGTTCTTACATAATAATTTTATTTTTTGAATTTGTGTTTGGTCATTCTTATCAAACTAGTATTCTACATCTTTCTTTAATTTTTGTTGTAATGGTTTTAAATTCTCTGCTAATTTTGGTATGTATTCTCTTACTTGGTTTACTAGTCCTAGAAATGATTGTAATTTCTTTTTCGTAACTAATTGTTCATTTGAGTTAATTATTTTTTGTACTATATGCGTTTGCATTTTTATTCCATTTTTATCTATTTGTATTCCTAGAAATTCTATTTGGCTTTTCATTATGTCTGCTTTCTTTTTACTTAGGCTTATGCCTGAATATTCTATAATACATATGAATTTTTCTAATAATTTTATGTGTTCATCTTGGGTTTTAAAATATAGTAATTTATCATCAATATATACTACAGAATTTTCTAACTGTTTAAAGTAGTTATCCATAAAGTGTTGATATCTACCTGGTGCATTTTTATATCTAAATGGTAATACATTCCATTCATAAAATCCTTGTAGTACTGTAAATGCTGTAAGTTTTTTAGATTCTTCTTCTAATTTTAAGTTGTAAAATCCCAATTTGCAGTCAAATTTACTAAAGTAATTATATCCTTGTATTTGTCTTATTTTTAATATTTTATTTGGTATTGGGTAATTATATGTTATAGTTTTTGCATTTAAATTTCTATAATCAATAACCATTCTACTTTTTCCTCTTTTTTGTTCACTATGTTTATTTACTATAAATGCTGGGCTTGTATGCTTGCTATTGCTTTCTTATATGTACCACTTTTCTAGTATCTTAAATTATGTTAAATCATTAAAATTATATTTTAATGGTTTTTGGGTTATTATACTATTATTATCAATTAGCTTAATTTTTATTTTTGTTTTATGTTTTTCCCATCCTTGTAAAGGATCTTCACTATATAATAATTCTAACTTATATTGGATTAGTT